TTTATTACATTCTTCTCTTTTTCTTCTTTTTCCTTTTTCCTGTACTTTTTATTAGTTCTTTCCATTCTCTTCTCTTTCTCTAAGTTTAGTTTGTATTCATTTTTCCTATTGTAATTAAGATTCTTAATAAAATTATATTTAAAAAAGGAAATTAATTCCATTGAACTATCCGGGACTGTCTTTTGAAAGTAGATGTGGATTGTATTGTATTATGGGGCACTAATTCAGGATATTTGATCAAATCAAGTTTGAAACAAAGTTTCAAGTTTAGAAATAGTATTAATTCCCAAAGGATCTAATTGAGGCCAATTAGGGGAACTAAGATGATTAAATGCCTTTTTATTTGTGCTGTCAGTAACTTAATTTTAGTTTGTTTTACCTTTCAAACTTAGTGGCTGATTAATTAGCATAACATAGATTTTGAGATACAAAAGAATGTGTTGGAAATTAAAATTTGGCAAGACAATTCCAGAACACATTGTTAAAAGGAGTGGCCATATTGAAAAAAATATTTAATTTTTTAAAATTAAATATTAATTAAATATTAATTAAAATTAAATATTAATTAAAATTTTAAAATATCACCAGAGACTGAATAACCAAAATAGTCTTCCAAAATAAGGACATGTATAGTAATTTTACAATCCCACAATTTAAAATGTATTCCCTTTTATTACAGTTAGCTTCCATGTGACTAGGATTCAAGCTGACATCTTTGTTTTACTTTTTATGAATTATAGCCAAATAATGTACCTACCTTCAGGTTCTTAACAAAGCGGACAAGGCGTTCTGCACATATACCAGTTTTCCAATTTTGTTTTTATTTTTCAAATTTTACAGATTGTAGCCACCAGAATAGCTCCAAAATAAGCTGTCCAATTGTTATTTTTAATATGACAGGAGTGGAAAATGAATGCCTTGGGGGTAATTATAACTGTCAGCTTTGGAGAGAGAAGCCTCTAGCATGCTATCCAAATCTCAAATATGGCTATGTATTGTACATAGCCTTTATTGTAGGGATGTCCAAGGTGTGGTCAAAAAAGTTGGGTGCCATCATAGCTGCCATCTTGCCTTTTTTGACTTCCCCTGTTGAATCACCTGCTTTGTTGTCTTCTGACAGTGCTCCTCTAGTTCACAATGCAATTGTTCATTTTACAACAATATTCTAAAAGTATTTGTGGGTTTTTTGCATTCAGCTCCCCTTTCTCTCCGAGCCACTGATGTTACCAGTGGAAACAACATTGCAGGAAGGACAAATGTCATGAGCTCTACAGTTTCACGACCTGTGCCTCACTCAATGTCTCCCGGCCCAAGTTGTGTAGCTGCAGAGCAAGGTAAAACTAACCTCTTGACTTTGTTATTGCCTACTTTAATATAATCTCATGACTTCAGCAGGTATAAAGCATTCTGAAAATCAGAGTTGCCAATAAATAAGAATATTTTATTACATGGGGTGGATACTAAAGCATAGAGGAGGCAAATGTTTATGCTTTTTGTTATTTATGTCTGCTTGTGTGTGTGTATGTTAATTTACTTCTGCTTAGCTACCCTGTCCAGTTCTGGCCCTCCCAAGAAACGACACCGAGGATGGTCTCCTGGATCCCCGGTCCCTCCTCCTGGTGTAATTGTGCCTGTTCCTGCCATCCGGCCTCTTCCAAGAGCAGGCAAGATTCTGATATATGTGTGTGTTCAGCCATTGACTTGGTGTGGCTTCATTGGTAGTTTATTAATTATTTGTTAAATTTATATCCACCTTAATTAATTAATTTGGTGCATTTATAACCAACTTTCCTATAGTAGCTCAGGGTAGAGAGCAAGAACTTCCCCCTCCAAGATTAGGCTGTACCAGAGTCTCCCAATAACATCATGACCAACTTATGGTATGAATCTAAGTCTCCCAATCTTAGTCAGTACAAGTTGTATTTAATTTCATCTCAGTGTATTATCAATACATGCATATTGAATGAGATAAACTAACTTCATTCTAACATTGATCTGTATGTCATGACAGAAACCTTTACTCTTTCATGTCATAATTTAAACTGATAAATGCTTTTTAATGCTATCTATAACTGTCACATCAGCAGTCTCTCTTTCACACAAAGTTTTCTTCAGTACATCAGCATTACTCAATCTTGTGCACTCCAAATGTGTTGGACGTCATTTGCCTTCTTTCTCAGTCAGTACAATGAGTTATAGTTTAGCACATCTGGAAGAAAGATATGTAGAGGGAATAGGGAATGGCCTTGAAGGACAGGAGGAAGAGCTGCTACCAATGCAACGATCAGACAAATGGGGCTTGGACCCATTCCAAGAAACTAATTGGAGTAAACATCTCAGGAAGGCCCCTTCCTAGTTCACACAAAGATAAAGTGAGGGAGTAGGAAGTATATTCAGATTCACAAGATTCTGTTACAATAGCTGTTCCCATAAAAGTAGTCCTTACCTGTATGGCATTGGTTTCTTAGTCTGTTCTACCTTATAAGGATATTATTGGAAAAATTTGGTAGATATATTTACACAGAAGTAAGGCCATTTACTCAGAAATCCAATAGAATATCTCCATCTCCTCCTTTTCCTCTTCCTTCATTCTCTCTCTCTCTCTCTCTCTCTCTCTTTCCAACAGATACTCTCTTTGTTTAAGTCGGTGCTTTTATTATTATTTATTTACTAGATATATACCCTGTTTTCTCTCTGCCACTCACTGTGGCAGTTGAACCTACAAATGCTTAAACAGCAGCTAAAAATACAAATTATAGAACTTAAGCATAAACACAGTACAATTAAATCAAGACAAATGTAAAATATGCCCAATTAACACCAAATTCAGCTAACAGCAGCTTGGTAAAACAAATGAGTTCTGCCATTTTTCTGAGCATTGGGAGAGTGGGGCCATGCTGGAGAAGGCCCTCTCCTGTTTACCAAATAGACAAGCTTCTGGCAGAGGGAGAATCTTCAAAATAGCTTTTCCTGCTGGTCTGAGTTACTCAGCAGCTTTGTAGCAGATGAGTTGTCTTTCACACCACCTGGCCCAAACCTATTTAGAGCACACAAAGCCAAGTCCACTAGGTTGAATCGGTAGATAATTGGTAGCCAGGGTAGATTGTTCAATATAACCACACACCATACCTTACACTAGCTGGCACCCTAATCCCTGCATGTTTTATCACCTGTAATTTATGGACACTTTTCAAGGGCAACCCCATATAAAGTTTGTTGAAGTTGTCAAGACAGGATGTAATCAACATGTGGATAACTATCACTAAGTGCAACCAGCTTCGAAAGGGTTGCATTTGATAACTAGCCATAGTAGTGCAAACGTGCTCCGCATCACAGCCATCACTTGCAAATCTAGTCACAGCTGGGGGCTCAAAGAACATCCCCAAACTGTGAACCTTTTCTTTATGGGGGAAGTGCAGGATCATCCAAATACACTTTTACATCAATTCATGAGTCCAACTTTTTCCTCATCAGCAGTACCTCCATCGTGTCTGGATTTAATTTCATCTTGTTTTCCTTTATCCAGCCTATCCTCAGGTTTAGGCAACATTCAAGGGTACTGATTGCTTCCTTAGAAGAAGATGGTAAGGAGCAATAGAGCTGGGTGTCATCAGCGTACTGGTGGTACCCCATTCAAAAGCTCAAAATGACCTTCCCCAGATATTAAACCACACGGAGGACAAGATACTGTTCTGTGGGACAACATAGAACAGTAACCTAGTTGTTGAACATAGTTCCCCAGCACCATTTTACGGGTGCATCCTGACAGGGAGGACCACAGTAGAACAGTGCCAACAAGGCCTGACTTTGCCAGATGGCCTAGAAGGATATCATGGTCAGTGGTATAAGAACCACCAGGAAACCCCAGGGGAGCAGGGAGCACTTCCCCCACCTCACTCTGACCTGGATCACCCATCAAAGTGTTTGCCAGCTGAAATGGGATTACTTTGAAATAAAATGTTAATGGATAACAGTATCCTAAACTAGAGATAAAAAAACAAATTGCAGATATTTCTCCTGGTGGATTACAAACTGTGTATTAACGCAAAAAAGACCTCTGTAGCTTAAAAAAAAGATGCACTCTATTTTTCTCTGTGCTTAGTTATTGCAAATCATTAATTAAGCTTTGCAATAGCAACTGAGATAAGATTTATACCTAGTGCTTTCAGCTGTATCTTTATCTGTAAAACGCTCTATGGCTCCTTTATGTCTAAAGTTTTGATTTAATAGATTGTGACTAGGATAAGATAAATCAATATTCAATTCAGCTTTGAGAACAAGCCCATGTTTCACAATTAATTTGCATATGATAGTTTATAAGTTAGTATTAAATCCCATTCTTTGTACAGGTAACATTACAATGGAGTTTTTGTGAACAGCTCTGTAGTAATACTTGGTTTTGGAGGAAAGTGTGCATTCAACCTTTTCTCTCTACTTCCCCTCCATCGGCTACAAACTGTGTTAGATTTTTTAAGGTAACTTCTTTTGGAAGGGCAAGCTAGGGAAAGATAGGGCAACTTTATGGTTTAAAGGAATTCACTATAATCTCAAAAGGAAATGCAGATGTAGTCTGAATTTTATTGTGTTTAATGATTGGTAGAACGAGCATGGTTTTCTTTCCTGTTAAATTGTTCATAGGGCCAAATCACAGTATGAGCCTTTTTGTAATAGATTTGTCCCCTTTCTGTATTTTTATAGAGCCTCTTTTATCAGTCCCAGTTCCACAGTCGATGTTAACTGGAATTTTACAGCCTCAGCCCATCCCTGCAGGGGAGACTGTAATAGTTCCTGAAAATCTGCTGATTAATTCAGGAATCAGACCAGTGATTCTAATAGGTAAGCTCTCAAGTAATGAACAGCATAATCTGCAGCTGTTACTTTCCTGGTTTCTTTTATTATTGTTGTTTATTTTTGGATTAAAATTTTGAAACCTAAATATTGCATCCATTCTTTGCATGCTTAAAAAATGATCTTGGTAGAAAATTTAAACTACAGTTTCTTGGAGAAAAAAAATCTCTTTAAGCTCCCAAAGGGATGAAAACTTTGTAACTGAAGATACCTTAGATAGGTGTTTCTCAACCTTGACCACTTGAAGAATGGTGGGGTCCTAACTCCCCTGTTTCCCCCACCCCCCCCACCGGGCTGGGATGTTTGGTGTGGTGGGTTCCCACCCTC